TTTGCTCAAGGACCTGGGTGCACTTGGTCGGTAATGCAGAAGGATGGGGAAGTCTGATGTGTACCTCAAGGGGGTTTGATTTTGAGTGAAAATAGCCAATGAACTGAATTGTATGATGTTAATTGCTGTATAATACCGTATGTCATCACTACTGTGGTTGCTATATGCCATATCAATAGTATTACAGTAAGAATCACCCAGATTAATGAAGAATGAACTTTAATAAAATTGAGCAAAGTGCAGTGGTGATGGAACCAGAGCTGGCTTCAACATGCAACAGTCCAACACCACACACCATTTCTCCTGCCCTGAAGGACTTTTATGACAGGAGGAGCCCAAAGTCATGGACTGAATGAACTGAATGGACATTTTAGAGGGATGGCCCACAGACTGAGGGAATGACATCTGCATGTCTACATCAAAAGACAGGAAAAGTGGTGGTGATTAATTGGGATGTATTGGAAAGGGTAGAACCTGTGCATGACGTAGATGGTATAGAATAAGGGGTGGATACTGTCCTGGTTTTGGCTGGGGTAGAATTAATTTTCTTCCTAGTAGCTGTCATGGTGTTGTGTTTTGGATTGAGTAGGAGAATAATGTTGATAACACGCTGATGTTTTAGTTGTTGCTGAGTACTGCTTATGCTAGTCAAGGACTTTTCAGCTTCCCATGCTCTGCCAGGTGCACAAGAAGCTGGGAGGGGGCATAGCCGGGACAGCTGACCCAAACTGGCCAAAGGGTTATTCCATACCATATGACGTCATGCTCAGTATATGAACTGGGGGGAGTTGGCCGGGGGCAGCAATTGCTGCTCAGGGACTGGCTGGGCATTGGTCAGCAGGTAGTGAGCAATTGCGTTGTGCATCACTTGTTTTGTATATTCTTTTATTGTTTCTCTTCCTCTGCTGTCCTATTAAACTGCCTTTATCTGAAGCCATGGGTTTTACTTTTTTTTTTCTTCCAATTCTCTTCCCCCATCCCACCAGGGCCAGGTGGAGGGTGAACGAGCAGCTGTGTGGTGCTTAGTTGCCGACTGGGGTTAAACCACGACACTGAGCAAGCACAAGGTATGGGCAATCAGTGCCATATTATCCAAACAAAATCGTACTGATCATTAGTTCCCTAGAGAATCACCCAAGCACCCTTGGATGACTGGGGATCGTTTCAGGAAGGCAGCCTGTTCTTCCTACATTTTGCACTTTTTAATTTTTAAAAGTTATTTATTTATTTAAGCATTTTGTGCTTTTTATTTATTTATATTTGTGTTATGGGCACAGTCCAGTCCCCTCTAGCTATCTGCTTGAGCTAGGCAATTTTAAGTTTGCTACAGCTTATTCCCAGTAATCTAATTAAAAAAACCGGAGCAGTTTGCAAAAGTCTTTTTATTCCATTCCGTACTTCACATACTGGTGGATGAAAGCAACACCTACATTGCCTCCCATTTTGTCTTTGTAATTTTTCTGTAAGTGTTTATCAGAGTCAAAAATCCAGTGGTTGAGAGGGACATGCAAGCTGTCAGGACCAGCATTTTGGACCTACACCTTTTTTGCATTTCAAAGAGTGTGTAGTATTCAGTGACTTTGTTTGTTTCCTTGTCTTTGGTGGAAGGAGATCTCCTGCATCTTCCTGTTTTTGTTTTTCATGGCTATATTGCTTTGGCACCCTGTCGTGATTCTGCAATCATCTGGTAAGCCAAACTGCTTTATTGTCCTTAGTTTTTTCTGACTGATCTCCCAGTTCATACATGTATTTTTCCCTTGGGTACACAACTTTGCAGTCTTCACTGTTGGATTTCTTCCTGTTCTCATTAATCACATCAATGAATTGGATCAACAATAAAACACTCATTTTTAAAGAATGAAATATAGTTTATTTTTGTGACAGTTTGTTCATTTTGCTAATTACAATATTCTTTTAGGTTTTACATGCAAATACAATTGCATGGAGTAGTGACTGTCACAAATTACTTCAATTCCTCGCTTTTTTTGTTTTTTCTTTTTTTCACTGAGTTAGAGAAGAAATAACAAATTGAGTCCATGTTGCCTTGATACAAAGGTAGGATACTTCGCTACTGGCATAATTTTTCTCTGTTTTTCATGGCTTTGGAGTGGATCATCCACCTGAACAGGAGCTGAGCCGAGTCCTCAGCTAGCAAAGTCAGCGTTAAGTCAGTGTTAGTCAAGGCGGTATTTAATCTGCTTCAGTCATAATGGTTCCCTGGATGTTTCAGCATTGTTCTACAGACTCAGTGTCTGCTATCACCATAAAAATGTGGTAGCAGTTTTCAGACAAACTGAACTTACAAACATGTTCTAGTGTGGTGAATGAATGTGTGAAGAAATGTTGAGACTAATGTAATGCTAAGGGTTAAAAAAAAAAAAAAATAGCTGGTAGAGATAACAGCATAGTAAAAGTGCTTGCTACACTCATGCAGCTACTGAATTCCTGTTCAGAAATGCCC